TCATTCTGAGTGAGATGGGAAGCCATTGGGTTTTAAGATAGGAGAGGAGCCAGCAAGGAGACGAAGGAATCATTTAGAAAACAGGAGAGAAACATAAGAGGGCGGAATTCCAGTAGGCAACAAAAGAAGCTTCACGAGGAAGAGAGTAAGTCATCAGCTGTAAGTTATCAAATGCTGCTCACAGGTGAAGTGAGATGAAGACTGAGAAATGAAAAGTGGATTTGAGAACATGGAGGCTCCTGAGAATCCAGAGCATAAGTTTAAGTGGAGTTTGGGGATCAAGTCTAACTTTCAGGTTTAAGGATGAGTAGCAGACATGAGAGATGAAGTTTTTCTGTATAGGAGTGGATCAGAGCAATGGGGTAGTATTTGGAGGGAGATACAATCAAGATTTTTTTTCCCCCAGAGGGCAGTTATTAAAATATTTATAAAATGATCAAGTTGACTGGGGAAACTTTTATAAGAGGACAATTCCAAGAGTAAAATGGAACTTGATGTAAAAGTAGCCATTTTGGTCTCGGATAGGAATCTGGACTGTCCATCCACTTATGGAGGCTAGTAGTGTATTCAGATGGAGGAACGTTGCTAGATGCAAGGGTGGGAGGGGGCCGGAGCTGTTACACATTTCTGATTCCTTCTCTTTTCTTACAGAAACAAGAAGCAACACAGCAAAGACTCAGGATGTAATGTCAGGTTTGGAAGATGTTAAACAGCTGGGTAGGGTACATGGCTAAGAGAAATTAGTGAGAGGTGAAATTGAGCAGGGCCCAGTGAGGCTCCTGGGCACAGAGGCCTTTCTGTTCCCTATTTCTTGTACGAGAGACTCCAGCCTCCACGACCTTCCCTGAGCTCCTAAGGGCAGATCAAGGGAGGAGCATACAAGAAACAATCTGAGGCAAGATTAAAGGGACCATCAAGATTAGGAGATCATCCACCTGAGATGAAGGGCTTCCCAGGTGGTAAAGAACCTGCCTGCCAATACAAGGAGATATAGGAGACGTGGGTTCTATCCCTGGGCTGGGAACTGGGTTGGGAAGATTATCCGGTATTCTTGCTTGGCAAGCCCCACGGACAGAGGAGCCTCGTGGGCTCACACCCTCAACTTTTTCTGCTCACATCCTAACCTTGTTAGAGACCCCACCTTTAAACCACTGTTATAAAACCCCATCATCCAGTCCTCTGGGATTTGGACACAGTTTTTCTAGGCAGAAACCTGGTGTGTCTCCCTTTGCTTGGTGAAGTCATAATGATATTTTCTTCTTCACCCTAAACTCTGTCTCCAGGATTTGATATGGCACCTGTGCAGAGGCTGAGCTTTCAGTAACATAGGGGGTAAGGAATACTGGCAGCTCATTTTCCTCAAGCATGCAGTGAATTGAGCAGGGTGTACAGGTCAGGTAGGTAAAGTAGAGGAAGAGAGGAGTCATAACAACAGATAATGGAATTAGATTCCCTTACAGAGGTGAAATTTTTTAAAAAATGGGTTTAACATTTAGATATGTACTTTAGTAAATAGTTGATTCTCATTATCTGAGGCAGCTGTGTTCTATAATCACTGGGAACGCTGAACGGCTCCTGGGGAAATAAACACATGGATGGGGTCCTGAGATACTCTGACCACATTTTCGTCAACTGATTCAACTTTATGTGTGTTTCTGTTTAGACATGTGGTGGTGGTAGTTTAGTCACTTCCGTGTCTGACTCTTGCTTCCTTATAAGACTGTAGCCCACCAGTCTCCTCTGTCCATGGAACTTTCCAGGCAAGAATACTGGAGTGGATGGCCATTTCCTAGTCCAGGGGATCTTTGAGACCCAGGGATCAAACCTGCATCTCCTGCACTGCAGACAGATTCATTACTGCTGACCACCAGGGAAGCCTCTGTTTAGACATCTTATCTAATATACTGTTGATTCATTAGCACTCACCTCTTCATGGGCAAGAGCACTAACGATATACCTAAATCAACCCGATGAGGTACACATTTTCTCCACAAAGGACATCACAGCCGTCTTGTGCTTAGGGATACTAGATAATAGCTTAGCATTGTGTTTGGGGTGGGAATGGAGGGGCACTTAAAACAGGAAAACCACCAGTAAAAAGCAACAGAAAAATGCTAAAAACATGACTGTGTGTATCGTGAAAAGCACATGTTTACAGTATGAGAACTGAAATAAGACGACTGAGTGTTGCCTTTACCCTCATCAGTGCCTATCAGGCAAGTCACATTCTCTACCATGCATGTCCAGAAATACTGTGGATACTGATCTGGGGATTACAGATAAATTTTAGGGAGAAAGTGAACTCGCCAATGCATTATCTGTGATTAACCAGTATGGACTGTACACTGCTAGCGCTGTTTCTCTCTGTAGCTCAGCCCAGTTTGCTGTTTTGATCAAAGGGTGTATAACAGGTTCAGCAGACATCCAATCACTAAGCAAGAAATTAGTAATAAATTTTGCTGCCAGTTTTCAAAATGTTTGTGCATGAGACTTCTGTACTATTTTCGGTGCTGTTCCAATGTAATGTCTTGTTACAAAAGTCCTAGAAATTGCACTTAAAAAGCTTGTTTTTCTTTTCTCTTCCATTTCAGTCATTGGCAGTTTTCTTCTTAGTTACTGACAGCACAGGAGGGCACTAAATAGGCCTCTATTGGTCCTCTCAAACAGCAATAATCTGACCTTTTGACAAATATGGCTACCTGATTAAAAAATTTTTTTTTCCATCAGTTGTGATTTCTGGCCTTTTCCCCCATCGTCCCATCTCGTGATTAGGTCAGCAATAATGTAACTGGTTAGATACCATTTAAATCAGTTTTTTGATACTTCTTTTTGAAGGGATCTTGTTTCTTCTGATTTGTTTCCTACCTTGACTTTTTCTTCCCTGTAAATGGCTGTATATTTAGTTTATTACTATCCTTTGTAGTTAATGCTGCCTTATAAGGAGTTTAGAGCAGAAGAAATAAAACCACCTGAATACCATCACCCTCAGGTAAAGGTTGGGCTTCTTATGGTGGTGACAGTGGTAAAGAACCTGCCTGCCAATGCAGGAGACAGAAAAAACTTATGCTTCCATCCCTGGGTCAGAAAGATCCCCTGGAGAAGGGCATGGCAAGCCACTCCAGTATTTTTGCCTGGAGAATCCCATGGACGGAAGAACCTAGCGGGCTACAGGGCATGGGGTGGCAAACAGTCTGACACAACTGAGGGACCAATACACACACAAACACCCCCGCCCCCACCCCTTTAACTGGGAGGTGAGCTTGGATTTTTTCACTCTTCCAATATGCCTATAGTGGCAAAGAGTCTGACACGACTGAGCGACCAATACACACACAGACACACACACACACTCCTTAACTGGTGGGGTATACTTGGATTTTTCTCCTCCAAATATGCCTATGTTGCCACTGAGTCTGTAGCAGTCTATAAAATTCAATTTGCAGCAAATCATCAGCACTTCCCATGGAGCTTCTCTGATGACTCAGTTGGTAAAGAATCCGCCTGCAATGCAGGAGACACAAATTCAATCCCTGGGTCTAGAGAAGGAAATGGCAACTCACTTCTGTATTCTTGCCTGGAAAATCCCATGGACAGAGAGGAGCCTGGTGGGCTACAGTCCAAGGGGTCGCAAAGAGTCGCCCACGACTCTGCGACTAAACCGCCACCACCACCAGGCCTTACTTAGTTCACCTGCGAAAAACTCCAGATGACTGGATTTGAGGGCGGAGAAACTAAGAGAGAAAAACGAGAAATAAAGGAGACGGTGGGGAGGGCGCGGCTGGGGTGGAAACTATTAAAAACGACACTTTTTCCGAGTGTCCCCCTACATCAGCAGGCTCATCGGGTGTTTTAAAGCAGCGGCGCTCGCCCTTCTCACCTTGGTCTTCGAAGGCGCACGGGCTTCGGGCACAAAGCCCGGTGACCCTGAACGCCACCGGCCCTTTCCCCGCGCTTCCGGGGGTGACTTACTTCTGTGAGGCCGAAGGCCTAGCTCCGGGTCTGCCCGCCGGTCTGAGGCGGGCGCGAGGCCCGGTTCCGGTTCCGAGAAGCGGGCCTCGCGGGAGCTCGCGCCGCCGCGCACAGAGCGAGGACCTGGACCCACCGTCCGCCAGCCGCCCAACCACGGGCTTCCCGGCCGGAGCCCGCAGGGGCAGGGGAGGGGGCGGCGGCCAGCGCGCTCCCCCGCGCGCCCCCCGCCCCCGCGCCGCCGGGCGCACGCGCAGCAGCGCAGCCGCCCTTATTTAGTCCACGATGGCTCCTCGCGCGCCCCATCGGCTTCCTCCCATAGACGCTGCCCGCCCCGCGCGCCCCGGGGCCCCCGGGACCAGCCTCGGGCGGCTCCCCGAGCCTGACTACCCCTAAACCGGAACGGCAGCGGCCGAACGGGCGCGTGCGGACCGGTAGCGGCGACCGGAAAGAGCGGACGGGTCGCGAGGAGGCGAGCCAGGCCGCGGAGGAAGAGGAAGGCCGGGACAAGCCGAGGTTTGCCGAAGGCGGCGTTCCGGCGCGCACGAGGGTGGGAGAGGAGGGGCGCGGCGGAAACTGCCGAGGGTTTCCGAAGGCCGCAGCGGCCGAGTTGCCCGGATGTAGTTGGTGGAGCGGCAGCGGCGGCACCAGCGGCGGCGGCGGCAGGAGGAGGAGGCGGCGAAGGACCCAGCGGCGGCGGCGGCGGCGGCGGGGGGAGGAGGGGAGGAGGCGGCGGAGCGGAAGGAGGAGAAGGCGGAGGAGGCAGTCGCGCTGTCCGCAGGGCGAGCAGGACGCGTCGTGTTGCCCCCTCCCCCCCACCCCCCCGGTTCGCCGCTGCCCGGCCTGAGCTGAGCGTGAGCGTGGTGCGGACGGAGGAGATGGCCCGGGAGCGCCGGCGCCAGTGACGGGGAGGTGCTGAGCGTCGCCGAGGGCGCGCCGGGCCTGCGCCGCCCGCCGCCTGCGCGCCCGCCCGCCGCCGCCGTCTCCCGCGGCCGCTCCCCCCTCCCCGACACACGCTCACAGGCCGGGCATTGATGGTAATGTATGCGAGGAAACAGCAGAGGCTCAGTGATGGGTAAATCGTCTTTTCGTTTCGAGGCGGCTGGGCGGGCGGCGGGGGGGCGCTCCTCCTCATCTGGGCCGGCCGCGCCGCCATTTTTGTTGTTAACCCTGATCCGGAGCGGCCGGGAGGGGGAGCGGCCGCGCGGGCGGCGGCGGGCGGGGGGTAGTCGGGGGTGGACGGCCGCGGGCGGCGGCTGCCCCTCGCCGGCGGGAGCCCGTGTGAGTGTGTGTGAGCGGGTGTGAGAGCGAGAGCGTGTGCGCGCGGCGGGAGGGCTGGCTGCCGGGGGCCGGAGCGCCGCTGGGATTCGGGGCGGGGGGGTTTCTGCGGGCTCCTTGAGGGGGGCCCGTTCCCCGGCCTCAGGTGGCCTTTTCTTCTGTTTTCCAGCTGTCACGACCGGCGGGGGGACGCGCAGCCTTACCAGGTACCACGGGGCGGGCGCGGGCTGCGGGGCTGGCGGGGCCGGCGGGGGAGGGAGGAGCCGCTACTCGAGCGCAGGCTTCACAGGTCGCTGCAGGCCGTTCGGGGCCACAGACGCGAAACCCGCTCGGCGGGGCCGGAAACCCTGCGCTCGGCTCACGGGGAGCTCGCCGGCTAGGGGTGGGGGCTTATTTTGACAGGTGACGGGAGGAAGTTCAAGTTCTTTTTGCGGGGGGTTTGGGGGGAAGGGAATAAAAATTGATTCTCGTCCAGGAAGGACCTGACTCGGTTATTTGGGTGTGCGGGACTCGGTGGGGCGAGGTGTTCAGTAACTCTGGAATCACCTTCATTTGCTGTTTTGGGGGAACTAAAAGTTAACGCAGAGGTATCAGAATTAGATGGAAGGGCAGGGAAGAAGCCACTAATGGGTTTCAACTCTTGAAGTGTGTTGTAAACCATTACCCCTTCCCAGTTTGTTTTGGGTGCACATAATTAATTGTCTTAACTAGTGAAAGATGGCGCTTTTGTTTCTGTAGAAATTGAGATCTTTGAGTACTTGGGTAATTCATTCTCATGAAAGGAGTTCCAAGTACATAGTTTTATTTTTGTGACAGCTTCGTGTAACATTGTAAAAAATTTTTTGAAAGAGTTGGCCCCTGCTTTCCGGGGGAGGGAAATTCATTAATTTATAACTCCGGGGTGACCTGACCACTTAAAGGATAGGAGAGCCGGTTTCCAAAGAAACAGTTGTGTTTCTGGGTAGCATGAGTTAAAGTTCCAGTTAAAAATCTAGGTTCCTTGACGAGTAAAACATTGTGCATTACATTTGGATAAGTCAACGATTAAACTGTTGAATCACACTCTAAAGCATGGTTAATTATGCCTTTAAAAAGACAGCTATATCATGGTTGTCTTAAATATGTTAAATTTTTTTGGGGGGGAGTTCCATTACGTTCCATTAGGATAGGTCAGAAATAAGAGCCAACATTTCTATAACTTAAAATTGTTTCCCATGCCTGCAAGAGTAGTTAAGCTAGATCTGAAATGCCTTACTTATTTGAATCCAAGAATTGGAGAAATTCTGATAAGAATTCTCTGAATTCTGATGCTTTTTTGGGGTCAGATTGAAGAAACGTGTTTATACTTGTTTGTATTTGTGTCTAGCATAGTTGGAGAGCAAAAATACTAGAGTAGTACTCAGTGAATACTTTAAACTTTTTAACTCCTAGAAAAGCTTGAGTTAATTTGCCAAAGTGTTTTGATTTATTGTGTTTACAAGATGAATAATGGAAGGTTTTTTTAAAAAAGTATTTTGGTATGTGTGAGGAGCCTTACAATAACTCGTGGTTAGGTCTTGTGTGAATAACTTAAAGGCAGAATTAAAAGAAATTTTAATTTTACAGATATAAATTCATAAAACTGAATGTAGTTAATATAGCAAATTTTATGATAGAACTAACTTAAGAAATTAAAAGTTTGATTTCTTTTTTTATTTTGGGGGGGTGATGTTTTACAGGCACTTAAGTATTCATCGAAGAGTCACCCCAGTAGTGGTGATCACAGACATGAAAAAATGCGAGATGCCGCAGATCCTTCACCACCAAACAAAATGTTGCGGAGATCTGATAGTCCTGAAAACAAATACAGTGACAGCACAGGTCACAGTAAGGCCAAAAATGTGCATATTCACAGAGTTAGAGAGAGGGATGGTGGTGAGTAGCTTTTTTTATTGAAACTTAAATTTATTAATACTAATTCTATGTAAGACAAAAAGTTTTAGTCATATTTCCAGCTTGCAAATGTTACTAAATAGTTATGTCATCAGAATATTTTATTTGACTCCTAAACAAATTATGTAGAAATAAGATGCTGACCCGAGCATCCATAGCTGGGCCCCAGTGGGAGATAATTAGAGGATGCATTTATGAATGTAGCCTATCAGTGCTTTATTAATAGTGAGTGACATGCAGGGCATTTCTCCAAGAAAGGAACTTTCACCTTTTCAACTTTCCAAGACTGCAGTTTGGCTTGGTTCATTTTGAGATCCTTGTTTCTACTTGAATTTATTTTTTAAGGAGTTCAGATGTGTGTTCTTTTGGTAAAGTATGAATTTAAAAATTTAGAAGGTTTTTTGAGACAGTTCATGGGTTAAGAAAGTCATTTATGATACTGGAAATTTTTGTTAGTTTTTTTTTTTTTAAGAAAAATACTTTTTTTCATATTTTCCAGGGTCGTCTTAATGTAACTTCTGTATCTACTCAGATATTCACCTTTTTAAAAGTTCACTTTAGTGGTTTTACCCTTCAGCTATTACTTTGCCTCAAGTTCTTTGTGGTAGAAGGCTGAAAATAAATTGTTTTCAGACTTAATGTATCCAAAATTTACCAAAATAATCAAGATTTCTTATCTACATATGTCATTCATTGAGAGACAAACCAATTTCGCTAAGTCCATTAATCATCTCTATTATTCCTGCTATAAGAGCTTAAATTACATAATAGATAATGTGTTTGAAATAAATACACCATTTTGATTGTGCTTTTATAAGCTTATAAGGAAACTGAGAGTCCCTCATGGCTTTCTGTCTCTGATTTTCAACTATCTTCAAATCCTGCTTCTCCTGGTTATCTTTTTGCCTCCTAGGGTAGCAATCAGCTGTATTCAGTGTGATGAGATATTGGAAAACATTGGCCTCTTCTGTATATAATTGGTGGGTTGAAGAAGTTAATAGTGGTCAGAAGATTGCATGGGAAAAAAAGATTGCATGGAGAAGGGAATATTGGGATGGTTATTGAATGGGAGGGTACTATAGTTCTCTGTTAAATATAGCATAGCTGTATGCTACTTACACATATAAACTTACATATGTTTGTAAATAACAGGTGGATTTGGTTAATAAGTGTTAGAATTTTGGGGGCAAAATTAATATTTTTAGCCTTGGGGGTAAGTTTTATGTGGTGTTATGTTTAGCCTGAGATTGTATTACCAGTCACTCTATTATAGTGGATTTCATTTCAAATGTTAGATCTTAGAAGGCAGTATTGTTTGTACTATATTGTGCTTTGTCTTTAAAATTTTGCTGATTGTGATTAAATAGGATGTGGCACCTCATCTTAAAGATAATAAGTATCCCAGGTTCTCTTTTAGTGATTATGATCTGGTTAATCTGTCATCTACACCCAAATCCAGAAAAGGGTCATTTTAGGTACTCTAGGAGACTTCTGTAAATGCTTTCATGCATTTACAGTGAACTGTGTCTGATTAAGTTCTTTTACAGGTGAAATATTCGCAAGAACATTCTGTTGCTTAATTATTGAGCAAACATTGGGCGTCCCCTCTGTGTCAGCAGTTGTGTGGTGTGCCTGGAAGTAATGCTGAGATGTGGTCCTGTCCTTGAAGCTGTTGCTACAAGCTCTGACTCTGGAGAGCTACTTGTTTTAGCTGCTTGCTTTTTCTGTACTTTTTTTTTTTTTCCTTCATTTTGATTTTCATTTTCCTTCCTGTGTGTAGTTTATATACCTCTTATTGGGTTTTAGTTTCCTTTTTATGTGCATCTGCTTGCTGATGTTTCTTTAGTTCCATTTGTAAGAAACTTTATCTTTCTGATCTAGTCATTTGCTAAGTTAAGCCCCTTTTCTGATTTGCTTTTTAGCAACTTGCTTGTCTTCCTCTAGAGCCTTAACTAATACTGACTTCATCCCTGGTCTCTATTATCTCTCAGATACTTGATTGCCATATTACTTTACCCCACGGAGGAGTAATAACAAATACTATAAAATGAGATCTGTGTTCTTGAGTGCAGAGAGCATCTTTGATGTTAATTTTGTGTTTTAAAGATGTGAAGTGGTGATTCTTCCCTCAGTTAATTCTTAGCTGTTTAAGTCATTATACTTTGATTCCAGGTATTTTTTTCTTAACAATAAGAGTTTGACCATTTTAAACATTTAACATTTTAAAGTGAATATGTGTAATTTCATTATAGGTATTTGTATTCTCTGATATTTTCATCTTCATAAACTCAATTGTATATGTAGATAAATTTTCACATAAAGATCAAAACCATTATTCAAAGTCAAAAGCAAGTGAGCTGGATTTTCTGTGCACTCAGCATGTGTAAGTAACAATATAGGAACAGGTTACTATATTACCGAACTAATATAAAATTGATTTTTATTTTAGGATTTAAAAAAATTTAATGATTTTAATAAATGCCTAACTGAAGTGTCTATATACCCCCTACCCCTACCCCACACTGTCCCATTGGACTTTACTGGCATCTGTCCACAGTTTTTTTTTTTAGTTCTTCATGGCACCTTAGATTTCCTTAAAGTGCCAATTCAGAGTAATATATAAAAAGAATTTAAGACATACTAATACTCTAAGAAATCAGAAAGCAGGGATTGAGAAGGATTGTCACTCCCTGCAAAAGATTGAAGTCTGCAGTTTAAAAGGGTTTATTCCAACTAAGTTTGTACAGTTAAAGGAATTAGAGATTTTTTATCCCTTAGGATTTATGAAAGGGAGTTTAGATTATTATAGCTAAGGGAAATTTTGTGACATAACATTACCTAAAGGTTCATTACTTGGTGGAAAATAATTTTTACATATATTGTGATCAACCTGCAAAATATAATCTTTTGTTTAAAAATAACCAAAAGCAAGAACCTAAGGTACAGTCATTTGATTTTTTTTATAGCTTAGGTTGAATTTGTACTTAATGGAATTTGTAAGCTCTTTCCATTTCATTAAAGTATGTTTTTCTTGACTAGTTCTAACGATAATTTTACCAAGTAACTTTCAGGATGATGCTAGTACCAGTGAGTTTGGAAATGAAGGGTAGCTTTATAGGAATTATGTAGATTCCACAAAAGTTCAGCCTCTTGGGGGTTGTCCCATTTTTCTTCTCTTCCCTCTGAGAATTAACTGTTAGAAACATATTTTGGGGGGAGATAGTTTAGCTCAGTTAGTTAATCGAAAAAAATTATTCTTTACTGGTTCCCTGAATTGTGGGAATTAAGTGATTTTCTATAGCTTTTTAAGTTAGTATTCAAATGTTTTTGAGTACAAAGGAAAAATTGCCTTAGTGCTTGCATTTCTAACTTTTTAAAAGTTTTTCACTGCGTAGTGAAAGTAACCTTTTTATTTATTTTTTTTGTCATTTACCCATATTTGGAGAAATTGGGAAATTTAATCCAATTTTCAAATGACAGTTACTGTAACATTTGAAGGAATTGTCATTAAGTAGGAAGTATTTGGGGAGACTTGTTTTTATAGTTTTTAAAATATAATTTAGTAATATTTTAGTATTCTCACATTAAATAGACTGATAATTGCATAGTATGACTTTTGTGGTTCTTTGAATAACTTTACCCTGGGATAGAATGAAATATGCTTTGCATTTGTAATGTTAGAAAGTACTATAAAAATGAACAGTCTCATTTGATCCTTGCACTGACCTTGGAAGGTAGGTAGAACAAATAGTATCCCTGTTTTATAGTTTATGGATGAGGGAAGATTTACTTGTGTGAAAGGAACCAATAGTAAGATTCGTCTAGAAACGGGCTTCCCAGATGGCACTAGTGGTAAAGACCGTGCCTGCCAATACAGGAGACATGAGAGACATGGGTTCAATCCTTGGGTTGGGAAGATCCCCTGGAGGAGGGCATGGCAACCCATTTTTGGTATTCTTAAAGAGGTGGCTATTATGATATAATGCATTTCAATTCACAGTCAAAACTATTTTGGTATGGTTTACTTTAAGATCTTTTAAGAAAGAAAGTGAAGTTGCTCAGTTGTGTCCACCTGTTTGCCAACCCATGGACTGTAGCGTGCCAGGCTCCTGTGTCCTTGGGATTTTCCAGGCAAGGATTGCCTAAGGCAGTATTAATTGAACTGATGCAGTTGTGCAAGATGTATTTAAAGTTCTTGGTGAACATTTGGGGTTCGTAATTCACAGAAAATATGTATTCTAGATGGTCTTTCTGTTAAGCCTCTTTTTGTCTTACTCTTTTGTGCAGGATGGTTTGGGTTAAGTTGTGAATCATTTTGTTATGGTGCTGAAAACAATGGAGCTAGCAGTGAGCTGCAGTATCTTCATAGGGATCTGTACCTGGACTCTGCTTCTGGGATCTTATACTAAGTACAGGAGTTGTTGTTTGTCAATCATTTCAAAACCAAGTTTTTAGGGCTTGGAAATATATCCTACGAAGAGTCTCCTTTTTATTATTTATTTGATGCATCATAATTTTGAAAGCCCATTTATATCTGGTCCCACACCCCTTTGAATTAGGCTGATCAGGATTATTTCTGTTTTATGATAAACACATAATCCAATTATGGAGCCTACTATTAGCTAGTGAAAGTAGAAAGCAAGTGTTTTTGCTATATATAAAACCTTATCTCTACAGTTGTACTCCAACTATAACCACTTGGTTACATCTCAATAAACCCATCAAAAGTTGAAAATACCGCAAGTTGGGAATGCCTTTAATACACCTAACCTACTTTAAATGTTCTGAGAACACTTACATGAGCCTGCAGTTGGACAAAATTACCTAACACAGAGCCTGCTTTATAATAAAGTGTTGAATATCTCATGTAACTTTCTGCTGTACTGAGAGTTAAAAGCAGAATTGGCTGTAAGTGTAGGAGTTGTTTCCCCTTCTAATTACGTGGCTTGACTGGGAATTCCGTCTCCCTGCTGCTGCCGCCC